GGCGGAGAGAAATGCTTGATTTTTAACTGAGTTAATTTTCAGTTGACTCCTAAGATAACAGGGAAGCTTTAGGAGCCTAATTAAACCATGTATTTGCTCTAATTACTTTAGCTGCAGAGTGAGAGGAAACAAAAGCAGCAAACAGACCTGTTCTGTGTGCAGCAGGCAGGCATTTGACGGTTGTTTGCTCCAGCAGAGGTTTTGAGTAGCATAGAAGATGCTGAGACCAAAGCCATCATCTGCAAGCGGTGGCTGTAACCACAAATCAGAGGGCAGCCCTTATCCCTGCATAGTGTAGAAAGCATCATTCATTGTGCATGATTTCATTTATGTCCAAACACAGAGAAAGCAATCATCATCACTAGCACCCATTTTTAATAGCAAGGGCAGCTCATTTTTACCAACATAAACATTAGCTCACAAAGACTATAGAGTTAATACTTAGAGAAAAATTGGGCAAAAATACTGGTGCTTTTATACTGGTTACTTTGTCCTCATAGGCTTTGTTCTCTTGAACAATGCCCACATTTAAGGCAACAGTTTAATTTTTAAGCTAAGTAAATCCACATTTCTATTATCCATTTTGATTTTAACACAAGTAGTTTAGAATACTGATGATCATGTATGTGAGGACAAAGGCTGATGAGTCTTTATTACCAGTGCCTGCTCAATTCAAACAACTTCACAGGAAATTTCTTCTAAAGGCAAACTCCATTAAAAGCATACTTCTTCATTAGTTAGAATCTGTTTTAAAGGTACTGTGGCCGTGTTTATCCATTTACCTTAGTATCTAGGTATAAAATACCAGCGGAAATGCTTGTGTCTCCCCTCCTCGGCTAAACTGGCAAACGAGAAATACTGGAGGTTTTATTACATCTCATTCTGTTGTTTTAAAAATCTGTGTTTGAGACTCTTGGTTCAGAGTCCAGCCTTCACAGAAATTATACCTGGATATGGAAAACAATTTCTTTTTGGGGTAACTTGTCATAAATATAAAAATAAAAACAAAAATATATGAGGCAGGAATCTATAAGCAAAGAAAAGTAGAGCATTAAAGCAACCATCTGGCGAGTTCAAGCCAAATACAGTCTCTACTTTTTGCGTGAAACATCTAGATGTCTGTACCACCCCTCTGCTTTATTTTGCCTATGGAAACCTGACCTAAACTAAACAACTATCCTATATCATTAAGTTGTCCAGGAAGATGAAAGTTTAAATATATGTCAGACAAGCTGCAGCATCTGGCACAATTCAGTAATGATGGTCTCCCCTAGAGAGCTTCAGTGTTGGAACAACTTTTAGAAATGAAGATATCTGGTTGACCTGTGTAAAGAAAATAATGTTTGTCTAGCCACACTTTCTCCCTATTCACAAGTACTATTATTTGCCCCATCTTCTCCCACTGTAGGAGACTTACAAAGTAAAATTCCTGTCTGAAATATCTCATTATAATCTGTAACTCCATTTTGATACAGCCAATAATACACTTTGGAGAAAATGATCAGCATTGTTCATCTTTCACTGTAATTGTTTAAACATTCTTTCCATACTTCTTTCTTGACACATTGATTCTTAGGCTTAGGGGTTTCCCCCAGATTAACGCATTATAAAATATCCTTTAAGAGTACTACATAAAATTTAACAAGTTTAGATGCTTTCTTATAGTCTGTTGACTATAGAACAAACTTACTTGTCTCTTTAAAAGACCATCTAAGCTTAGATACAGGAGATCTTTTAAAAGAAGAAATGATCATGGTGATATTTGTGTGTGTCAATCGCTCCCTTCTAAACTGCACTACAAACCTCACTGTACCAAGTTCACACACCTCTCAAAATAGAATAGAATCAAGTCTGAATGCACTGTTTTTCCTTAATAGACTGGGGGAAAACTTGCAACAAATTTGACAAAGTTTTAACATCTTTATTATATAAGCAAGTTGCACATAATAAGGAAAAAAATACTAAGAAGCTAAGAGATAAAGCAAAGGTCACTTTACAGAAGATAATCTCTTGTCAGCAAAGATATATAAAAGTTTTTTTTTATCTCACTAGTAAACAAAAATGCAAGTTAAAAGAACGGTTGAATACCATTTCACCCATCTTATCAGTGATTAAAAAAAAAATAAGAATGTTCAAGTCTGCCAAAGTGTATGGTGACATGGTAAACTGATACATTATTTTTGAAAAATAAGGCATAGTGTGTTCATACCTTTCCTCCAGTAATTCTACTCCTCGTTCTATCCCAAGGTACTAATTGTAAACATTAAAAAGCAAAAGCTATAGGAACAAGATGTTCGTTGCAGCATTATTTATAATATTACAAAATAAAAACCATCTAAGTAGCTCAAAGCAGAGGGATTATTAAGCACATTAATACACAGCTCCCTAAAATACTCTGCAGCATTTTAAATTATGTTTAGGCTGATCCATAACAATACAGGAAAATGTTACTATATAATGTTAAGGGAAAAGAACAAGGTACAAAATTCTAGACATTGTAAGCCCACTACTCTGTGACAAAACTCTATAAGGACATGAAGGTTTTAAAGCCTATTATTTCCACTATTTTCCAAATCTGATTCAGGATGCCATTTCATGTTTTTCAATACATTTTAAAATGCCATGTTTTTACTCACAGCACTTTGAAAAGCACTGCCTTATTTTCAGAACACTTCTACTGAAGGCAAAACCCTATTCTTGGAAAGACTTATGAAACATCATAATACCTATCGTAAAAATCTCAAATTATTTTATTCATCGTCATTTTGGTTGTAAGTGTATGGAATCCTCTACACATCTGAGCAGGCAGCTGAAACACGAAGGGAGCGGATCCAGTCAGGACTCTCTGAGCATCAACACTCATTCTGCCTCTGAGAGTCCCTTTTAGAAACCACGCTGTTCTGAGCACCTGTGAATATGCTGTGCTTATAAACCGGCAGAGGGAAGGATAAGGTTTCTAATATTTTGGAGACAGCCAAAACCAATTTCTTTCTTCCCCAAGTGGGAGCATCGAAAAGGAGCCCTTCATCCAAATATGTTTATTCTGCTTCTAACAGAGAACAAATTCTTAAGAGGGCAGAGATGGGGCTTATTTTTATGATGTATACACTGCCTAGTTTACTGTTAAATTTTATAAATAATACACTTTGCAGCATCCACCCTAGGGCAAAGGTGAACCCACATTCCATTCTATCAGCGAGAAATACCATAGGTCTCCCCCTATTTTTGCCCCCAAATCCCTCTTTGCAATTGTGGTCACTCCTTTGACATTTTAATGTATTATTGACTCATCTACACGCTTAGGAAGCTGAAATCCTAGTAAAAGACAAACTGAGAGAGAGCTGGGGGAGGGCCATAGGGGAAGAGAGAGACTTGAAGAGGTTGAACTTACACTCCAGCAGTTTCTCCAGAAACAAGGGAGGCAGTAGTTCTGATTTTTGTAGCGTCAAATTGTAGACTGAAATTCAGCAAAAATCTTTTCTTGACGCGAGGGATGTGAATTATATTCTAGGATATGTATTCGGTGTGATCCTTTGTTCTGGGTACAAGCTTTTGTTTTTCTAAAGTTTTTCGGTCTTACTCGAGGAAAAGGAAACCGTATTATTTTGAAATCCCTTAGAGGCGCCTTTCGAACCATCTCTCATGGGGAAATATCACGACAGCTCACCGCTGGTGTATTTCAGTAAGAATCGAGTCTGAGGTTTTTTGGGTTTTTTTTTTGTTTTTTGTTTTTTTTCCCAACATGGCTATATACTTTGCAGGCCCCTAAATTCGTGCTTTCACTGACATCACTCACTAATCAAATAGCCAGAAACCGCATCTTCAGCTAACCTGCGTTTCGTGGACTAGAAATGCGCTCTGATTAAAGATCGTGTTCCTTTTAAAGGCTCAGCTGTTACTCGGGTGCCTGAGAGTCTCGGGCTTTTGTCTGGGCTGCGGCCGGCTCCGGAGCGCCTGCAAGCGCAGTGGGAGGCAGATCTGAGGGCCCCGGTCGTTAACACGTTTCCAGGGGGGTGCCCACACTTTCTCCCGAGACGCTCAGCTCTCGGCGCGCGGCTGGAGCGAGTGGGCCCGACTGTGACCGGAACAGAGAATTTCTGTGAGGGCCAGGGAGAGAAACAGAGGGCGCCTGGGCTCAGTCCCCGGGTCGCCGCGGCTCAAGGATCTGCAGGAGTTTGATTACTGCCATTAGCAGCTACTCGCGGAGGGTTGTTTACCGCCTGCGTGCGCGACAACCAGACAGCGGAGCCCACTCCGGGACCCAAGCCCCGCCCCCCTCGCCCCTTAGTTACCCTCCTGCCCCCCAAACTAATTAATTCACGGCCGACTCCCTGCCGGACACTCCCATTGGCTCCCATCCCGTCCAATGGGAACCTTGCAACAGTTTCACCTGGCTCCCACTTCCCAAATAAACAAACAAACCGTCCCGCCAACTGGCCAGCTCTCGTCCCCTGCGCGGCCCGGGACAGCTGTGCTCCGCCTCCGCCACCACCTCTCGCCCCCTCCAGCCAATGGAGCCCGGGCTGTGGCGCCCCCGTCCGGCCCCGGCTGCGGGCCGCTCTCTCCTCCGCCCCTCCCCGCCTTCTACCGCCCCCTCGTGCCTTCGTGGACTCCTCTTTAGGACCAGCGTGGCCGGAGAGCCCCGCCTCCTCCCGTCGGTCCTCCAGAGGCCCACAGGCCTGGAGACCCACCAGGCGTCTAGGCCGGGGAGGAGGCGGCTCCGCCTCTAGGGCCCGGCGCCCCCTCCCCTGCGCACCTTTGCTGGCGACAGCTCGCGCCCCTCCGCTGCGCGGGTAGCTGAAGCCGCAGCGGCCGCCGCGTGAGGCGGCGGTCACGTGTTGTTTTGCCCGCCGCCGCGCGCTTTGAGTGGAGTGGGCGGGGGCGGGGCCGAGGCGGGAGAGGGCTTGGGCGGGCAGACGGGCTAGACGGCCTCTTCTCCAACCCTCCCTTCCCGGAGCCCCCCCTCCCCCGCGCTCACCTTAAAACCATCGTGCATCACCATGGCGAGTTGCTCCTTCGCTCGCGACCAGGCGACAAGGAGGCTGAGAGCTGCGGCAGCGGCAACAGCGGCAGCGCTAGCTGCGGTGGCGACCACCCCGCTTCTTCTCTCGGGCACGCCGACCGCACTCATTGGGACCGGGTCGTCTTGTCCGGGAGCCATGTGGCTCTCTACGGCCACTGGCTCCCGGTCAGACTCTGAGTCCGATGAAGAGGACCTCCCCGTCGGGGACGAAGTCTGCAAACGCGGCTACCTGAGGAAGCAGAAGCATGGGCACTGGCGCTACTTCGTGCTCAAACTCGAGACCGCCGACGCCCCAGCTCGGCTAGAATACTACGAAAATGCCAGGAAGTTCCGGCACAGTGTCCGCGCCGCGGCGGCGGCGGCGGCGGCGGCCGCCTCTGGCGCCGCGGTCCCCGCGCTCATCCCACCGCGGCGCGTGATCACCCTGTACCAGTGCTTCTCGGTGAGCCAGCGGGCCGACGCAAGGTACCGACACCTCATCGCCCTCTTCACCCAGGACGAGTACTTCGCGATGGTGGCCGAGAACGAGTCGGAGCAAGAGAGCTGGTACTTGCTGCTCAGCCGCCTCATCCTCGAGAGCAAGCGCCGCCGCTGCGGCACGCCCGGCGCGCAGCCGGATGGAGAGCCGGCCGCGCTGGCGGCTGCAGCGGCGGCGGAGCCACCCTTCTACAAAGATGTGTGGCAGGTAATAGTCAAACCCAGGGGGCTGGGGCACAGAAAAGAGCTGAGCGGCGTGTTCCGGCTCTGTCTTACCGACGAGGAGGTCGTCTTTGTGAGGTTGAACACCGAAGTGGCCAGCGTGGTCGTCCAGCTCCTGAGCATCCGTCGCTGCGGTCATTCGGAGCAGTATTTCTTCTTGGAAGTCGGCAGGTCCACCGTCATCGGTCCGGGGGAGCTCTGGATGCAGGTCGATGACTGCGTGGTGGCCCAAAACATGCACGAGCTGTTTCTGGAGAAGATGAGAGCCCTGTGTGCAGACGAATACAGAGCGCGCTGCCGCAGCTACAGCATCAGCATCGGCGCCCACCTGTTAACCCTGCTGTCCGCTAGGAGGCACCTGGACATGCTGCCGCTGGAGCCCGGCGGCTGGCTGAGAAGGTCCCGCTTTGAGCAGTTTTGCCACCTCAGGGCCATCGGGGACGGGGAAGACGAGATGCTCCTCACCAGGCGCTACATAACACGCAGCGAGCCCGTGCCCCCCTCCAGGCGAGGAAGACTGCACCTGCCCAGAGCGCGGAGGTCCAGGAGAGCGGTTTCAGTGCCAGCCAGCTTTTTTCGCCGCTTAACAGCTAGCCCAGTGCGGGCCCCGCATCCCGCAGAAGCCCCCAACCATGGAGCTTGCCCGTCCTCTGAAGCCTCCGGCCCTGGCAACTCTGGGGAAGAAGACAGTCCTCAGGGCAAACAGAATCAGGAAGGAAACGAAGGTGACTACATGCCCATGAACAACTGGGGCTCCGGAAATGGCCGGGGTTCCGGAGGCGGCCAGGGCTCAAGTGGCCAAGGCTCCAGTAGCCAGAGTTCAGGAGGGAGCCAGTGCTCGGGAGGGGGGCAGGGCTCTGGAGCTGGCCAGGGCTCAAGGGGTGGCCAGGGCTCAAGCAGTGGCCAAGGCTCAGGGGGCCAGGGGGCAGGAGGAAACCAGCGTTCAGGAGATGGCCAGGGCACTGCAGGCGGGTACGGCTCAGGCAGTGGCCAGGGAGCCAGCGGCGGTGGACACGGCTCGGGCAGTGGGCAGGGACCTGGAGATGGCCATGGCTCAGGCGGTGGCAAGAACTCTGGAGGGGGCAAAGGCTCGGGAGGTGGGAAGACCCCTGATGGCAGTGGTGAACGTGGAAAATCTCTGAAGAAAAGATCCTACTTTGGCAAATTAACTCAAAGCAAGCAGCAGCAAATGCCACCACCTCCACCTTCTCCACCTCCACCCCCTCCGGCTGCAGCAACTGGTGGTAAAGGGAAGTCTGGGGGAAGGTTCCGACTCTATTTTTGTGCCGACAGAGGAGCCACAAAAGAACGTAAAGAAGTCAAAGAGACAGAGACCCCAGAAGGAGCAGCTCGGGGGCCCCACAGAGCCAGAGCTTTTGATGAAGATGAGGATGACCCATACGTGCCAATGAGGCCAGGGGTGGCCGCCCCTCTGGCAAGCTCCAGTGATTACATGCCAATGGCTCCTCAAAACTTCTCTGCTTCAAAACGCCACTCTCGATCACCTTTTGAAGATTCAAGAGGGTACATGATGATGTTTCCCAGAGTGAGCCCACCACCTGCCCCAAGCCCTCCAAAAGAGCCGGATCCTCATAAGGAGGATGAGGCAAAAGACAATGACAGTGACAGCGACTATATGTTTATGGCACCCGGAGCCGGTGCAATTCCGAAAAACCCCCCAAACCCTGAGGGTGGTTCTTCCTCTAAAAGTTGGAGCTCCTACTTTTCTCTGCCAAACACCTTTCAGGGCTCCCCGTTGGGACAGAGTGACCACAGTGAGTATGTACCAATGTTACCTGGAAAATTCCTGGGGAAGGGCCTAGACAAAGAAGCCTCATCTAACAGGGGCCCCAAAGATGCAGTTTCAAAGCTTTCCGTTGAGGGATCGTTCTCAAAGCCTGGAGATGGGGGGGCACCTTCAAAGCCTGCAGATAATGGGCCCCCCAAGAACAAGGCTAAGAGACCTAACCGCTTTTCTTTTATTACAAAAGGATATAAAATCAAGCCCAAATCACAAAAGCCCACACGTGAGCAGAGAGAAGCTGACAGCTCTGGTGACTACGTCAACATTGACTTCACTAAGAGAGATAGCAATATGCCAGCCCCCTTTATCCAAAGACTGCCAGGTTCGTGGAGCATCATTGCTGGCCCCAGACCACCAGCTTTCTCTAATTATGTGAATGTTGAGTTCGGAGTGCCATTTCCGAACCCAGCTCACCGCCTCTCAAATCTATTACGAGCTTTTCCAGGTGCCAATCCCCTCTTTCTGGAAGGTGCTAGGTGGCCACTTGTGTCTCTTCTTCCCAGTGCTCTAGGTGGCAATGCTAATGAGGAAGAGGGTGACTACATCGAAGTGATTTTCAATCCAGCAATGACACCAGCCGTGCCTTTTGCTGACAGTGCCATCCGCTATGATGCTGAAACAGGTCGAATCTATGTGGTCGACCCATTTTCTGAGTGCTGTATGGACATTTCTCTCTCCCCCAGCCGCTGCTCTGAACCACCACCTGTGGCTAGGCTGCTGCAGGAAGACGAGCTGGAGCGCAGACGCCCTCAAAGCCGTTCGCAAAGTTTCTTTGCCTCCGCCAGAGCCGCTGTCTCGGCTTTCCCCACCGACAGCCTCGAGAGAGACCTCTCCGCCTCCTTAGCCTCGGCAGCTGCGCCAGCCGTAGCCGTGGGTCGGGCTTTAGCCGCCGCCTCCGCCCTCGCCGTGGCCCCCGGCTTCGGTGCGGCCGCCAGGGGCTTGGAGGCCGCCGCTGGACTTGACTCCGCCTCTGTCCGCTGGTTCCAACCTGTTGCTAGTGCTGCTGCTGCCCAAGCGGTAAGGGGGGCCCCAGACCCAGGTGCAGACCTGGCCCGAGGTGAGATCGGGGCTGCAGCGGCCGCCCCCCCACCGCCGCCACCCCGCCGCCGAGTGCCGAGTCCCCCGGAGCGAGAGGATTCCGACGACGACGACGACGACGACACTTACGTGAGAATGGACTTTGCCAGACCTGACAACAAGAAGTTCGACTCTCCCCACAGAGGTTAGTAACTTTAGAATTCATTTACCCAACTTAATGTTTATTGCCTAAAGAATCGATGTCTACGGTGTTAGGAGAAAGGGAGTTAATATTTCATTAACTTGGTGCCTACTTAGCAGGACAAGGAGAATTCAGTTTTCAGTATTCATGCAGTGCCTTGTGATCTTTGCAACAATTTTTAAGTTTTGATCCAATCATACATTTATTTGGAAACAACCGATTGCCATTTTAAACATTGGTTCCGTTCTTTTAGGAGTAATTAAAAGCTTAAGGATACATATGGCATGGGGATGTTTTCAAAATCCTTCCCTAACACTTAATGATTTTTGCAAACAGGATACCATAAATTGGATCCCATCAACTCATTTTCAAATCAACGAGTAAAAGCTACTTTTCTACAAATGCCCATATTTGATTACAAGAAGTTTAATAGGTGCACAGAATATTGAGCAGTGATAATCAATTGTGACATTTAGGGGAGGTAGACCTTCTCCTTTGAAAGTTCCTTTTTTAAAAAGCAGTCATTGTTACTTTTTTCAAAGTGGTCATTGTTACTAAGCTATTTTGCTGTGATTTACCAAGAAGGTTAAATCTCCACTGTTAGCATGAATGTCTGGAGGGAACAAAATAGAAATAATCTGAAACAGGTGATTAAAAGAAGACAGTATTTGGCTCTGGAATGTGTTTTTGTGTTGATTTGTTTTGTTTTTACACAGGATACATTGCCATCAACCTTGAGTGTTCCTTTTCTGTCACTCGAGGTGACAGGCAAGTCACCTTCGCTGTGCCTCATTTTCTTCATATAACTCCCCCAAAAGAGGGAATTGTGACAACTTGATAATGGGTATGAATATTGCTTGAAAGGTTTAAAAAGCACCAAAAACATGTAATTGGTATGTCTTCTGGGAAATCCAGTAAAGCAAGATAATAAGGCTGGAGGAAGACCTGACCCAGGGGCAGTGTACCCTGTAACAGTGGAAGTTTTTTAAAGGGTTATTTTTCCAAAGGAAGAAATAAGGAAGAGTAGGAGCTGTCAGATTTGAAAATCAGACCTCGAGTAATCTCATGTGTACATTATGCAATGCTATTATCAGCGTGTCTAGACACACGCTCAAGAAATGTTTTGGAAGATGATGTCTCCATAGCCGGTGCCTTCCCTCTTCAGTAGAATGTGCTTCTTTCCCAGTGAAGGGAAGAGATGGACCCCAGCAGTTTCCATTCCAGTAGTCAGTTTAGTGAAGATTTTTGCTTTGCTTGCTTTGTGGAATGCTTTTGTGATTGGATCTCTGCCCACTGTGCTTGATCAGGCAGAACAAGTTGGGGACTGATCACAACAGTCACCTAACAAGCTCCCTGTTTAGTGCAGGTGTAACCCCCTCCCCTTGCTCCTCCTGCTTTGGAAAACTTGTCATACAAAAACTCACATTTGTAGCACGGGCATATTTAAAAGTGATCATTAAAATGACCAAAGGATGCTTTGGCTTCCTAGAGGATTCAGTTCAGATCTCCATTAAATTGTGACCACCGCCTCCCAACACACACACACACACACACACACACACACACACACACACACGGTCACCACTACCACCAGACCCATGCATTTAAAATATATCATTCTATTTCCAAGAATGCAATCCATAACAAGCTTTTCAGCAACAGGGTTATTTTATTCTGTAAAGTACATCTGAATATTGGTCTCAAGCTATGGCTTGAACCTCACTGCTGAAGCTACTGTTTGTGACATTGATGTAGGTGTGCCTAGCTGCCTGTTTCCCTGTTGTTCTTTGGTGAGGACAAGTTTTAATAGAGGTTCGTCTATACTTTTCAATACTCTTTGTTTAAACAGAGGTTACAATTAGTGAAAACTTGTTCCTGAAATAAACCCTGACTTCTCAAGGATGATCTAGACCCAATTATCATCATTTTCGCTTTAAGTTACTGATGTGTAAATAGCTTCAAGTGACTTTATAGCTGTTTTGCAGATTTGCTGTTCTTTAAATGTATTGTCCATTGAGGAAATTCCTGACTTTATTGAGTAACTACAGCAAGGAGGCTGTATCTTGCAGGGAGGAGGGTGCTTAGGTTCAAAGAAAAAACTGAATGTGGAAGCATTTGGAGACCTTAAAGCAGTTTACGAATATAGTTTTGTTTTGTGATTAGATTAACACTGAAGTGAAGTTTCAGTTTAATCATTTGCAAAAGTAAATTGGTCCTGAGAGTGATTCAGGCATGTAAGTTGCTGAGATATATATATTAAAGGAAAGATATATAGGAAGAAAGTATTGAAGGAAACAACTTTTGTTACCATTTTAATGTAAATTGATATGGTAGAATGTTGTCTGTGAAATGCTAAGAACAGGATGGGTAATTCTGATAGTTTTTTTTTTTTTTTTTACTATAAAGCTATAGAATAATTTTTACCCATTTTTTATCTGTCTCTACCTTCGTATCTACATTAAATATGTATGTATAATGTATCATACATATGCATCATGTCAGAAGAGAAATAATCCGCTTTCACAAAGGAACAAAGTCATAGTCTTTATTAGGAGTTATGTATCTCAAAGGGTAATTTTATTTCATGGCAGGTGCTTAGAGCAGTGCCTGGCACATAGTAAGTGTTGTACATGAATTACTATGCAACTATTATTATTGTTGTTATTGCTGTTATGCTGTTATTATTTCCTTTAGAGACACAAAGCTAAATTAAAGTTCTCTGTCCTCTATCCCAATTTTCAGTTAGTTTTTAATTTCATTTTTGAGAATGTTTTATTCATTTCTGAGAGAGAGAGAGAGAGAGACAGCGTGAGCAGGGGAGGGTCAGAGAGAGAGGGAGACACAGAATCCGAAACAGGCTCCAGACTCTGAACTAGCTGTCAGCACAGAGCCTGATGCGGGGTTTGAACCCACGAACTGTGAGATCATGACCTGAGCCGAAGTCGGACGCTTAACTGACTGAGCCACCCAGGCGCCCCAGCTTTTACTTTCATTTAAAATGGTTTGCATGGTTGTTCAGGGCTGGGATCCTTACAGTTGGGGTCTGTTTTTAACAAGTGAAATGAAGTGAGACTGTAAAACAGTGTGACAGCTTTGTTCATGTAGCACAAAATTAATAATATAATCTCATTTACCCACAGTTACATTGCATATAAGTAAGTATGTTAAAGCCATCTGCTCAAGACAATTAGAAACATGTAGAAAAAATGACCTGGGCTTGACTTTTTATATAAATTAAATAATTTTTAAAGGGCAGAGTCTTCACATTTCATACACGTGGGCTATCAGCATTAACATTTGGGAGGAGAATGTAGTTTCTTATTTGGTATAGTCTGACTCTTGACTCATGTCTGCATTTTTGCTTCTTTTACTGCTGTATCTGAGGTAGAATTCATAGTTTGAAATGACCGAAGGTGAGAAAAGGATTTTTCCATTCCAAGATAGGAGGAATAAGGGCAGCTCTAGAAGGGGCAGGAGAATTGATCAACCAAATTCGTAATGTTATAGTAGCACTTGGTATTAGAAAGCAAAAAAAAAAAAAAAAAAAAATCCGTAGTAACTACCTTTTGAAATGTTAGACACTGTTATTAACACGAAGGAAGTGTAAGCTCTTTTCAGTGTACTACTGCCAAATCCTCTTGCTTTAAATTATAGGTGCCGAGAGCAAATTGCTTTTGCTGTATTGGATTTATTTATTACAAATTACTAGAATAAAATCTCCAGTTGGCAGAGATTTCTCAGTCATCATTGATGGGTCATTTATTTTAGGCAACATCTTCCCCCACTCCCTGAAAAAAAAAAAATTGGACATTTGGAGTAGAGGTATTTGACCTATAACAATTAAAGAGGACTTCATTCAATTAAAGTTCACTAAAGTTGTTGGCAGTCATTACACATTTACATTCATTCTAAGAGTGATGTTCCCAGGGAAAAAAATTCGGCCACTAGCAAAGCATCTTTAAACAAGGACTAGGGCTTTCATTGAGCACAACAGAATACCACACGTGCCTAAAAACACAAACAAGACCTCTTGCTTCCCTTTCCTCTCCCAGATCACCAAACATGAACCAAGAGACTTGAGAGTCATTGGCAGGCAGCTGTTCAGGGAACAAACTCGGGCTTCCTAAGAATGACGCAAAAATCTTCACGTTGGATTCGATCAGAGTGACCAGTGTAAGGAGAAATAAATACTGCGTGTGAATTAAAAGGGTTGTTGTTAAATTGTCAACTTGTTGGTTGAGGGCATGTTTAACAGTTGTATATGAACTTATAATTGGCAAAACACATTCACATTCCTTATTTTACTGGAGGACAGTAGGTAGTGGAACTGAAGCCACTGTTAAGAATTTTCCCATGGTCAAAGCAGTAAGTGGCAGAGCTGAAAATCAAGCGCATGCATCTGATTTCAAGTCCCTTTCATCATATGTCCAACCTGTTCCTTTCCTATTGATGAAAGATCATTATATAGGCAAGGGCTGAAAAAAAAATACAAGTTTTCTTGAATTTGATAGGAGCAATTTTGGGGGAAGTAATTCATTCAGAGTGTTACAGCTGTGAACCATCTGCCAGAGCTTGGGTAATTTTCTTTGCGTTGAACTGTTTGCCATTGCTCTTAGGAAAAAAGAATTTGACCTGTACTGGAATTGCATCTTTTAAATCTAGTTTGGGGAGGCGTTTGCTAATCTTTACCTCCTCCACACAAATGGTATATCTAATTGGATGCCACGGACACACTGAAAAGAACAGAAGAGAGATGAGAGTGCATTCAGTAAACTTCCGTTAATGGTCATTTCCTTACCTGAGGTTAGACATCTTTGGTTTTCCCAATAATCCATTGGCATTTGCCAGTTACAGCAAAAAGTCTTTTAATTTAACTTTTATGTATGTATCAGATCTGATATTTAAATCTAAACTGTCACAGTGAGCAAAATAGGAAAAAGTGAGACAGGTGAAAGAAAAGGGGTGGTAGAAATAGATGTTCTTCATTTGTTTAAAAAGTGAGCTTGCT